GGGGGACCCAGGTCTACGATGGGAAGTTTGCCGTCTTTGTCATGTTGAACTACAACACCAACTCCAGCCATGCGCTGCGCCAGCTCCGTTTCACTCAGCTCACCGGTCAGTGTCTGGCCTTACCCTTGGGCTAGCCTGCGGACAAGGCCTTTGTGACCCATTCCAGGGTGCCCACCCCCTTGACCTCAGTGGGTGCCTATGTGCTGGTGAGGCTGGACTTAAGTTAGATGGGGGCCCACTCCTTTAACTTCAGAGTGCAGTGTGTCAGGAGCTCTCTCTTCCTGAGGCACCCTAGCATTACCCCCTCCCCCACAGGCCCACAACTGGAGTTAAATATCACCTGCCCATCTTCCTCTGCTTGTCCCTGTCAGGTGGAACTCACTGACATGCAGGACAGTGCGGGGGTGGGAAGTGGGGGATGGGGGTGGGGGCAGGCTTGAGTCAGAGACCTTCTCGCCTCCCCCCTCCCCCCACTGGCCTAACCGGATCTAGACAGGTGTAAGGAGACAGCAGTTGTTTGGGCCCGGCCCCTCCTCTGCTGATCATGTGAATCTTCTCTGGACTGGTGGGGGGTCGGGAAGAGGGGGTCCTGCCTGCTGTAGCCCTTCACCCTGTCGCTTCTCTCCCCCCGGCCCCCTTCAGAAATCCTATCAGGAGGTGTTTACATCGAGAGGAACGAGAAGCTCTGTCACACGGACACAATTGACTGGAAGGACATCGTGAGGAACCGCGATGCTGAGATAGTGGTGAAGGACAACAGCAAGACCTGTGAGTGCTGGGACTGACGCCCTCCCCAAGCCACGTGAGAGGCCTGTTTCCTCCTCTGCACGGAGCGCATGCCTCAGCTCTAGCCCTAAGGGGCCTGGAGGACTGCCCAGGTCAGCCCCCCACCCCCAAGCCACCCAAGCCTGGGTCAAGAACCAGGGCCAACGATGGATGGCGGGGTTCTGAATGGAGAAGCCAGACCCTTGGGCTCTACATTCCTTCCCCTTCCATTGCGACGGGCTGCTCTCTCTTTGGAAGCTCCCCACACCCACCCAGCCAGTCTGCTGCTTCCTGCTCATCCGCACGCACGCACGCACGCACGCACACACGCACGCACGCACACATGCACATCTATTCCTGCTGGGTTGCATTTGCCAAGGAGGAACCAAGTTCCTGGGTTGGGCCTGGGGCTGAGGTTGGCATGTGCCCCAGTTCCTCCCTTTCAGCTGCCCAGTGGGTGGTGTGGAGGCATGACTCCACCCTTGTTGACAGGTTCACTTGAGACCAGCCCTGTTGTTCTCAGAAGGCAGTGCTGTGGCTCTTCCCTTGCTGGGACTGGGTGCCTGTGTGCTGACATCATCCACTGTGGATTCAAGCAAGCCTCTCTGTGCCCTGATGGGTCCTGCTGTTGTTTTCTTTGCCAACCAGGTCCCCCTTGTCATGAGGCCTGCCAGGGACGATGCTGGGGTCCAGGACCAGAAGACTGTCAGACATGTGGGTTCTCTTCCTTCTAGAATCTTCAGCCTTTTGCTATCCTTGCCTTCCCCGGTCTGTGTCAGCACTGGGGGTGAGGAAGAGCCTGCAAGGCTCTGAGGAAGCAGTCCTAAGGTGTCCCCACCTCTCTCCCTAGTGACCAAGACCATCTGTGCCCCCCAGTGTAATGGGCACTGCTTTGGGCCCAACCCCAACCAGTGTTGCCATGATGAGTGTGCGGGGGGCTGCTCCGGCCCTCAGGACACAGACTGCTTTGTGCGTATTGGACCAGCCTGGGGCCGGCCGGGAGGAAGGAGGTCGTGGTGTAGAGGTAACTGTGCTGCGTCTCCGTGTCCCCAGGCCTGCCTGCACTTCAACGACAGCGGCGCCTGTGTGCTGCAGTGCCCGCAGCCCCTGGTCTACAACAAGCTCACCTTCCAGCTGGAGCCCAACCCCTTCACCAAGTACCAGTACGGAAGTGTCTGTGTAGCCAGCTGTCCCCGTGAGTGTCTGCAGGGGGGAACCACTGGAGTGGGTCCAGGGCTGGAAGGAAACATCTGGATGGCATCGTAGGGGGGCCTTCATATTGGGAAGACTGTAGGAAAAGCCTCGAAGGCCAGAAAGGGCCCTTAGTGGGCTGTGAGCCAGGCCTTGGACAGCAAGCTCAACTTCAGCAGCTCAATCGCCCCCACTCATGCACAGAAAATAGGAGGCTGTCTGTTCCCACAAAGATTTACAGCATCAGAAACCTATTTCAAGAAAGCAGCCTTCTCTAGGGTAGCTGTGAGCTGGGATGGCAGAATGTCCGCTTACAGTGGCTGAGAAGGCCTGTGGGTTCACCCTCAATGAGCGACCCTCGCTCCTGCCCCACTCCAAGAGCGTCCAGTGGTCGGCAGAGGCGCAGTGGGGAGCGAGGGCTCAGGAAAGAGGTTCAGTTGGCAGTACTCCTCACCTCTCACCGCGCCCCTCTTTCCCAGACAACTTTGTGGTCGATCAGACTTCTTGTGTCAGAGCTTGTCCTGCAGACAAGAGGGAAGACAGCCGCCTCAAGATGTGTGAGCCTTGTGGGGGCTTGTGTCCCAAAGGTGAGTCGGCACTGGGAAGAAGTGGGGAAAGGGCCATCCTCGCCTGCCAAGCCACCCTGGCTACCTCTCCCTTTGCGTTTGCAGCCTGCGAGGGAACAGGCTCCGGGAGCCGCTTCCAGACCGTGGACTCAAGCAACATCGATACCTTTGTGAACTGCACCAAGATCCTGGGCAACCTGGACTTCCTCATCACAGGCCTCAATGGGTTAGAACTCAGATCCTCTTCTTCCTCCGAGCGTC